TTTTTTTCTCAACTCTTTTTTAGCTCTTGGGACATCTCAGACAGAAACAGCTGAGGCTACTCTGAAATTTAGGATAAATAATGGAGCACACACAGAGAAGGACATACAAATCAAAATGAATGCTAATTGCAAATGCTGCACAAGCACAGTGGATTTCACTTGTTTCAGCAGGGCTGGATCTCACTCTCATTAGCCTTCCCCAGATAGCAGTACGCAGGTTCAGTGTGTTTATTTTGCTCCATTAGGAATTTAAAGTGTGGATATCATTCTGCTCATCCAGGCCTGCCTGCAGGGCTTAACACTGTGTTCTATTATTGACTGCTTTTACTGCTCCTTACAGTCTATCTCTTTTTCTCCAGTGCTACATAGCACATAAGGCTGCATTTACATTTTCTGAATGGACTAATCATGGCTCTCTGCTTTGATAAAGAACGTGCAGCCTCCCACACAACCAGAAATAAACCCGTTCTAGGGGGTTGAGAGAAAAATACCCACTGAGATAATTGGGAGGGATGTACAGCAAAGAAGCAATTGAACACATAGTCACATCTTAAAAAAAAAAAAGAATATAATGCTAAAAATACCCATATGAGGGACAGCAAGAGAAAACATGATTGAAGCAGAACAATTGGTAGAGGAGATAATACTTATTAGCAACCATTTTGGATTGAATATAGGTTGGTTTTGTAACAGCACAAGGAATGATGCATTTGACAGTACTTAAACAATTGCCTCCCCCTTTCCCAAAGAATCTAGTTAGCAACACCCTGGAAAGGCAGCACAAATTAACCAGTTTCCATTGTGTGCTCCTGAAGAGTTAGCCAGAGCATCTATAGTTACTAAAAGTTTTTCTTTGTAAAATACAGATAACGGTGAAGTTAGAGCCCAAACAACTCTTTCCAAATCCTTCCTCCCCATATTTCAAGCCTTGATATGTTTTAAAATTTAGCCTATCCCCTCCTCGATCCTTATAAAAGCAGCTCTGAGAGGTCAGGCAAAGTTCATTTGTTCAGTGACTTTTTCCTGGCCTTATCCAAAAGCTGTTGCCTGGACAAGAGCATAAGAATGGAGCAAGTATATATGGTAACTCTGCAAGTACCCTGCCATCTTCCAACCCTTTGCATCTCAGCTATTTCCTAAGCCAGTGTAGTTTCTATGTATTTATTAACCACCGGTGGATTTCTTTCCCTTGGCGCTGAAATTGTATAGTTTCCCCTTGAACCTGGGTTAATAAGATTTAGGAACATTTAGCATCCAGGCTTCCAGTAGCAAAAGGCTTTACCGCTTAATTGTATGTTATGTGAACAAACTCCCCATCCTATATCTCCTGGCATTGAAATGTCAGCTATGTACAAAGTGAGAAAGCAAACACTCATTTCCAGATTTCATAATTGTTCAGAAGAATATTGTGCACAGAGGATGAAATTGAAAAAGAGTGATTATAAAATTATTATAAGATTCATGAGCCAAATCAATCTCATTTAAATGTGAAGAGCTGCAAACACTTAAGTATTTGAAGGTAAGCATTTTTTAAACTTATTTATTGTATTATAGCATTAGTATGTAATAGTTGTCAAAGAATATTGTGACTTACATGAAGAGGTGGATGAAAGTAATGGAAAGTTTAATACAAGCGTATCAGATGATAAGCAAGCAAATGCTTTGTAGAAATAGACACTAGGGCACAGAAGTTCATTCCACGGTTTCTTTCTCATAGTGGAAGTAACAATAGCCAAAGGTGGGTTCCAAGCAGTATTATGAAATTCTGCTATCTTTCTTTTGGAAGAGCTTGTTTTTTTTTGTTTTTTGGGTGTTTTTTTTTCCTCCATTTAAATGTTCCCTGCAGTTTCAGGTGTAGCTTCAGTAGAGAATTGTATATAACACCTTGGATGTCTTTAAGTGAGGATGAGAAGGCCAATCCATAAGCCAGTCCATATTTGGTCCTCAAGGCTTTTACAACCACTGGGCAATTCGGCTGTTACATAGCACAGAAAGACACTTATCTGCCCGGCAGGATTAAAATGACCCTTTCAACAGGAAGCAGTTTTAGAATATGGCTATCCCTCATAGGGAAAAAAAAAATGCTATACAAGGATAAATGCAGAGGCATCCAAGATAATTACGCTTTCTGAGAGCAAGTTGTACTAGAGAGAGAGAGAGAGAGAGGAATTCTCTGTGGTATTTTGAGATGCATCAAGTAATAAGCTTTATAGGCTCTTTAAAGGCAAATCTGAATTCCAAAGTTGAAATTAACAGGATGGGAAGGGGGACCATTTGCCACTTTAGTACAAACTTTAAAAGGAGTTTTAAAAGGAGTACACATAGGAAATAGGACTTTATGTGCTAGGGTTTTCTGTTTTATTAAAGAGGCATGTATTATTCACAAGAACTCATTGGCCTATGCCATCATTTAGACCTTTCAACATAATAACGAAATACTGCTGTTCTGATCCAGTCATATTTAATAGCATATTTGGCATGTATTATCAACTGTCCAGTACTTTGAACCTTTGCTGATTGTGCTAATAGCCTGAATCTGTTGGCCTGAGGGAGTATGAGAAAGAATACATTGAACCAGCAGTGAAGTCCCATTAAAGGAAATGCTAACTGCGTGTTCTATACTTCGGCAAAGCTGGAAAGGATTGAAGTGCAATCTTTGTGCTTGCTGCCTTGCGTGCATGCAGCGTATGCGGGGTGAGAGGATATCAAGCTGTGATTCCCTTCTGAGAGGAGCGTGTGTATGTAGACGATCACCTATGCTTTGCAGATCTTTGCATGGATGTAACCTGCTCACTTCAGCAGCCTTCCTGCTGATTCTGGATTGTGTTGTGAATCAGAGTGGTTATCAGGATCCTAGGCATGATGGATGCCATGTGACCACTTATCTGATCTAACTCATGACCTAGCCTTTCACATAGAGTGTAAAAATGACACCAAAGGGTAAGGCAAAAGAAAAAAGGAAGCCGTTTGCTTCTGGGTATGATCCACGTTTACTACAATACAACCTCTACTGACTATTAACCCAGCACCACCTGGCTTTCAGGGGGGTGTATTCATATCCTTCTCTCTAAAGCCTGAAATATACACTTTTGCTTTGCAAATGTAACGACATACAGAGCTGAAGCTCTGCTTTACATACATGCAATCTCAATGGACATGTGCCTACAGAAGTTATGTGTAAACGGAATGTCATGGCAGATTATATACATTGGATGTGTGTGGTACATGTAACTGCATGCAATGCAGTTAGGTGATAACTCATGACATATGACACTTTATGTAAGACAATTCACTTAATTCCTATGAGATAATGATGGCGCTATAGCTATCTACAGAAATATTCAGGGAAAAAAACATTGTCCAAATGCATATTCGGGTAATTCTGCTGGCTTAGAGTTATTCCTCCTAATTTTACCATTTCAAGTGGTCAGGATATTTGAAGACTGCCCTTTTCTCTTTCTCTCTCCATCATATTTGCTTATCATGTCATACACTGTTTATGTAAGAAAAAGATAATCACATGGTACATAAATCAATAGAAAGTACTTTTACAAAAACTGCTCAGAAGAATGGGAAGTAAAGAATGAAGATTCTAAGGTAATAGAATTTCTGTAATATGAAAAGGAATGTAAGTGCAGAGAAATATAGAGACTACTGAGACTCAGTTCTATCAAAAACTTATTTACAAAGCTTTCTTGTTTGATGGACTTAGCAATATTATCAATAGACCTCTTTTGTTTCTAGATTGCTATGGGCAATCCATGGACTTTTACTTTGAAAGAAATAAAAGCCATAAGCACAGGATTATGAATTCCTAAGACCATTGTGTGATTAAAGAAGAACAATTAAATGAAACAGTGAACATGTTAGAAACAAAAGCCACGTTACTTTGCAGCAAACTGCAAGTGTAACCTATTTGACTGGTTATAGTATAATTTTGTGGCTGGTTATTTATAAAGCAATAAAGTTACTCTGCTTTTTGACTTGGAAGCCTACTTGAGGAACAGTGACTCATGCTCCACATGCTGTTAGTACTATGGTCCATACTTGTATGTCCGGTAGTCAGGCTGACAGAGACTTGACAACTTACATGTGAGGACTGCATCTACAGTCAACAACTTTAAACATAAATGCTTCAGCACTGAATAGGACCCAAGGCAACCTCCTGCCCTAAAACCCTTGTTCCTACTGGTTTCAAAAAGCCAGATGAAACTTATGACTGAACGACAATGAAAAAATATTAAGACACAAACAGGAATGATTCAGACTTCCTTTATGCCGCAAAGATTACTGTAAACCTTGCATAAAAGCTACTTCAGAGAAGAATCCCTGAGACAT